AGAAGTTATAAAAAAGCGCATCTTATTTAATCAAAGGAACAACTAAACAAGAAGATATTACTATCTTTAGTAAATATCCAACAAATTATGGTATGCCTAATTTCATAAAAAGCATACTGAAATTAAAGATACAGACTAACTTAAGTTCACTAATAGTAAGTGCTTTCAATGTCCTATTTTTTCCAATAGACATGTCATCTGGACAAAAAATAAGAGGAAACATCGGAATTAGTTTACCTCATACATTAAATGGACTTAACAGATACCCACACAAACAGCAGAGGTATGCATCCTATTCAGCAACCTTTGGAAACTCTCTAAAACAGGCCACATCACAAAACAAATACTTTTACTTTTTATAATTTATGTTTTAATTTTGTTTTACATTCCAACCACAGTTCTCCCTCCCATTCCTCCTCCTCCTCCCATCGACTCCCCCACAGCCCAGCCCTATTCATTCTTCCCAATGGGTAAGGGCTCCCATGAGGAGTCAACAAAGTCTGGCATGTTAAGTTGAGGCAGGTCCAAGTCGCTCCCCCCAGCATTAAGTTTGGGCAAGGTATCCCACCATATGGAATGACTCCAACAAGCTAACTCGTGCACCAGGGACAGATACTGGTCCTATTGCCAGGGCACCCTCAGATAGTCCAAGTTCACAACTGTCTCCCACATATGGAGGGCCTAATTAGGTCCTATGGAGGCTCCATAACTATTGGTCTAGAGTTTATGTGTTTCCACAAGCTTGGGTCAGCTGTCTCTCCAGATTTCTCCATCATGATCTTGACCTCCCTTGCTCATAAATTCCCTTCTCCCTCTCCAACTGGATTCCTGGAGCTCAGCCTGGTGCTTGGTTGTGGATCTCTGCATCTGGTTCCATCAATTACTGGATGAGGTCTCTATGATGATAGTTGGGGTATTCTCCAATCTGATTACAGGGGAAGGCTAGTTCAGGCAACCTCTCCACTATTGCTGGGAGTCTTACATGGAGTCATCACTGTGGATTCTTGGGAATTTCTGTAGCACCAGGTTTCTCCCTAACCCCCATAGTGGCTCTCTCCATCAAGACACCTCTTTCATTGCCCCCCACTCCCGCATCATCCGGTTCCTTCATGTTCTCATTCCCCTTTTTCTCTCCTTTGCCGCCCTATCTTTGCCACCACTTTACACAGGAGATCTCATCTAATTTCCTTTCCCATGGCAATCCATTTGTCCGTTGGTCTGCTCTGTTCACAAAACAAATCTTACCAAATTCAGAAATACTGGAAATATTTCATGTATCTTATCTGACCATAATACAATAAAACTTAAAATTGACAGCAAACAAATTTTTAGTAAATACACAAACTCATAGATATCAAACAACTCATTACTGAATGAGTGGGTCAATGGAGAAATTAAAAAAATTTCTTGGAACTAAATGAAAATGTAAACACAACATGAAAACGTCTGGGACACTTTAAAAGTAACTACGAAGGGAAAATTTGTAGCTTTATGTGCCTATATTGAAAAACCTTCATAAAAATAAAATAAATCCCAACTTAAAAAATAAGAAAGGACAAAAATAAATGACTTACTGATGCAACTTCCAAATTTGGAAAAACAACAAATGAAACCCAACCCAGTCTATGGAGAAATAATATAAATCAGAACAGAAATTAATGAAATAAAAACAAAATTCTACAATGAATCTAAGAGCTGGTTCTTTGAGAACATAAACAAGATTGACAGATCCTTGGCCCATCTAATGAAAAGGAAGAAAGATTTGACCTAAATTAGAAACAAACAGGGAAATATTATAATAAACACAAATAAATTCAGAATATTATAAAGAAATACTTTAAAAACTTGTATTCCATTAAGTTAGAAATCTTAAATAAATGGATGAATTTCTTGATTCATCCAGTTTACCAAAATTAAATCACGAACAGACCAACAACTTAAACAGACCTATAATAAACAAGGAGATTAAAATAGTAACAGAAAGCTTTCTGACTTAAAAAAAAAGTCTAGACCCAGATGGACTCACAGCAGAATTCTACCAGACTTTCAAAGAAGATCTATAGCCAATATTTTTCAAATTATTCAAAAAATAGAAACAGAAGGAAATTCCTTTTAGGAAGCCAGTATTGATATAATACAAAAACTAAGTAAATATGCACAACAACAACAAAAAAGAAAATGACAAGCCAATTTTTCTGATGAATGTAGATTCAAAAATCACAAGGAAAATATTTGCAAACACAATACAAAGATACCTCAGGGAGATTACCCACCCTAATAAAGTTGATTTTATCCCACAGATGAAGGTATGGGAGAACATATATAAGTCAATAAATATGATAAACCACATAAGTTGAACTTAAAATAAAAATCACATTCTCATCTCAATAGATGCAGAAAAAGTCTTTGGAAAAATCTAACATATCTTCATGATAAAAGTCCTAGAGAGAATAGGACTAGAGGGAACATGCAACAGCATAATAAAAGCTATATGAGAAAGCCATAGCCAACATTTCTAATAAGGAGGGAGATCAATACAGAAGGAGAGGGAGCGGGAGGAAGATAAAATAATAGTAAGGAAGTCAGAAAAAGCCATAAAGATTTATATTATTATCTATTTAACCAACGTTACATATAATGCATAGAAATATATGATGTACATGGTTTAAATGAAAAATTTAATGTACTCCTGGAGCCATAGGCTATCTAATACAAACTTCAATACTAAGCATAAGAAGCCCTCTTTTGAGTTGTTGGTCAGAGTTGTCCAGACCCCCAAAACATCACAGGCTATTGCTATTGTCCCTGGTTGCCTCCCAAAGGTTTAAGGTAAGTCCCTATTGCCGAGGATGTCATATATACTTTGGATATAGGACTCAGAAGAATCAAGCTGGATCTGACCTAAAAGTCTCTGCCTCCTGCCTGAAGATCAGCATTCATGGTACCAGAAGATACCATGCAAGTTTCCAGGGGAGGGAAGCAGCCAACAGTCCTAGTCTGCTATGATGTCTGTGAGCTACAATAATAACCAGCATGGCATAAAAACCCCAAGGATGTGGTGGTAGCATGCATACCGTTGCAGTAACCAGTAGTTCTCTGATTAGACTTAGATCCTGCTCAACAAGAGGGAAATAATGCCTGGTACTGAGAACCTATCCACCAACCTGGGGCTAGTCAGGTCATGGATCATGAAGGAGAACACACAGACTTCCATTTTACTAAACCAGCATAGTCCCTAACTACACCCTAAATATTTATTCTTATATCCATAGATATGCAGAGTTCTCAACCGTCATCAATGAAGCATCTCTAAGCGATAAACAGACCATTACAGAAAAATCAAAATGCAGAGTTGGAGAGCCCAGTCCCAACTTATACATCTATAATACAACTCGTGGACCGTGAAGCTTGGGGAACTTTATAGAAGAGGTGGCAGAAAGATTGCAATAGAGAGGAAAAAGAATTCTGCTGAAAGACTGTATGTCTCTTAGAAATGTCAGACCACTATGCACATGAAATCTCATCAACAGGACTGCCTAAACAAAACCTGAACAAGGACAACATGCCAGCATGGAAGGAGAAAGTCACATGGGGCTTGAACCCTATACAAAGAACTACAGGGAGCCGAAGAATACTGGGAACAGAAGAAATAGTCTTCCCCTGGGAAGAGAACACCAAGGCTTATCCAATATCAAGTATTCAGCCCTGAAATCATATACATACAAGTATCAATATATGAATTGAGCTGACTGTATTACAAACTTAGGAATATATTAACAACAATTAAAGAGTTAGAAGTCATGAATTTGAGAGGAAGTAAGTGGTTGCATGAGAAAGGTTACAGGGAGGAATGGAAAAATGGGAAATAATGTAATAATGTTATTTAATAAGAGACTTGGCCTGTCCAATTCTGTATTCCTATTACTTGGACCAGTGTCTCACACATATTATTCACTTAAAAATGTATCATGCAAGTTTTTATTAGCTACTTTTCCTTCCTATAGAATAAAATACTTAGATAAAACAACTCAAGGGAAGACACGTTTATTACTTCTTAGCAGATAACTGCTGAATGAACAAGTGGTGAAGAAATGAACCCAAGTGTCTGACAGCACCCTTTCCAAAGCATGATGCAGCAGAAGAGCCTTGGTTTTCAAACTTTCAAAGGTGGAAAACCATTTCTGCAAGTACTGTTCCATTCATCCAAATGAAATGCAAGAGTAAAACTCCACAAAGGATATGTAATCACAGAAATGCTGGTACATCTTCTTTGTTTATTACTACAAGGAAACTGATTCATACTAGCTAAGCATTGGAAACAACCAAATGTGTATCAGCCACTGAGTAGGTGAACGCGCTGTTCTAGTCATACAATGTAATACTACTAAGCAATACAAAGAATGAAACACACAACAATATGAATGAGTATCACAAATATTAAGCTGACTAAAAGGGTGCATACTTGATTTCAGTTACACAAAATTCTAGAGCAGACAAAACTATCAGAATAACCATTGTATGTATGTGTGAGGACTAACTGAGTAGGGATGGCAAAACCTTCTTAGAGTGATGGTAATTTTTTAGCAGCTTTGATTACAGGTGTGTATATTTTTCAAAACATGTTGAACTGTACACTTAAGATTGTTGCATGTTTTCTTATGCAAATATTACTCACAAAGTACATATTTGGGTGGCTATGTATTGATGTTTGCTATTTGTTTTTAAATGCATCATAAAAAATAAGATGATCCAATGGAAAACAGAGGGTTGAATATAAGGACAGGAATGTGATAAAGCAGTACAATAAAATGTTAGTGGTAGAATCCAGGGTATTACAGTTGCTTATAATTCTCTCGACTTTGATAGGTGTTTGAAATTTTTTCTAATGAAATGTGAGTTTGAGAAGATGGGAGGAAAAGGATGCTAGTCTGACAACGCAGATGACTTGCTATTCCTTACTTTCCTGCTAGCTGACTCTCTGACTGAGATGATGAACTGACCTCCACTCCCGGTTCTCGTGTACACTGGTAGCTTCTTGGCCATATCCACAAGCATTTGCTTCTGGACCTCAGGTCTCTCTTCATTTTCATAGCGCTCCTTGTCTGTATAGGACAAGTGGAACTGGAAGCAGAATAGGCAAGGCTTTACTTTCTCAGGTTCCCAGAAAGGATTAAAAGCAACCATAACTACCTAAATGAAAACATTTATTATCTGTCCTTGAACTCCAAATACCAATTTGCGTTATAAATTTCTTTGGCTAAATATCTTATGAGATAAGTGGTGCTCTTTTTTAAATAATAAAAATAAAACATAACACTTAGATTAGGTATATCGTTCATGGTTGTACTGAATCAACTTACAAGTAGCAAAGCTAGTCCTAAATGCACTTCATGTAATTCCAAAACTTATATTCTTTCCATTCCATTATACCAGGTATAATGGTATATACAGTTGTGTAATACATTACATTGTTGCTAGGATTCCATCAATGAGTAGCAACGCTTATTGAGTGCCAATTGCTTTTTCACAGGTTCAAAATGCTGATGACACTTTCAGAAAAGTTGGATGAAATGGTTTGTGATATTTCCTGCATAATTATAATTTTGCAAATGGGTAGAAATTTGGATTTCCTCACTAGCTGATACAGAATTTTTGCCAATTTAATGCTACATTTCACTAATCCTAGCTTAATTATTTTTTCAAAGTAATATAGATTGGAAAACTTTTCCTTAGTCTACACAAAAGGGTAGACAGAGGTGAAAAAAGAAAGGATTTATAGTGGGAATTTCTAGTTTAAACCTTATCATGGACATAAAATAAAAAACCACTTTGGGAAATTCAACATTCTTGTTCTAACCCTTTCCCCCTGTAAAATGAAGGAAATACTTCTTTCAAAAGACTGATGTAGAATCTCTGGGTAATAACAAGTAACTCAAAGTATCATTTAGAACTCTAATTAGTAATCATTTAAATCTAGTTGACATTGTCAGTCACTTGAATTTTAACCCTTACTTGTACTTTCACTCAGTACTTCCTCAGCTACTAGCGATACTAGTCATCACTTCATGAATAGACCATATGGGGTGTTCTCTTGAAATACTACCTATTGAGCATTTCCATTAAAATAATTAGGTTCTGAGCCAATTTCCTTTGAGGATGAGGTCTCTGTTGGGTTGCCCATGCTCCAGTGAAGGCTACACATCCAAGAGTATATGAGAAACACAAACTATATCTGTTAGGTTTAAAGAAAAAGAGAGGACATGAGTGAACAGGTGGGTATATCAGGGATAATGGATCTGGGAGGAAGATGGGAATGGTAAATATGATCAAAATTGTAGGAAATTCTCAGAAAACTAACAAAAATGAAAAATGGGTTATTGTTTATGCTGGATTATGGCAATCTTTTATATATTATAGATTCTACTCTTTTGTTGAATATTTTCTAACAATATATACCTTTCTTTAAGTCCTTTTATGATATAGTTTGAGGGACAGGAGCTCTTGTTAAGAGTGTGGATTTATAAAACCAGTTTGGAAAACTTATGTACTATCTAAAAAAAAATGCATGTCTGCATTATGACCTAGCAATTCTACTCCTAGTTACATAGCCAAGAGAAATTAACGTGTGTGGGTGAAACATGCATTTTAAATATGCCAAAAGACATGTACAAGAATGCTCAGACTAGGTGTGTGCATGTATACACACATACAATATATATAAATGTTTAAAAAGTGAATTATAAAAACCATTCCTATGGTGTATTTTATAGTATTGTACCATTCTCAATCAGAGTGAGAATTAAATAATCTCCTGAGGATATGTAGAAAGTCATAGGGGGCATTTGAGGCTGTCACAATAAATATGGTGCATTTATAAGGATTCAATTTTTAGCCCTGAGTTCTACTGTGCACTAGGTAGATGCATCCTAATCACAATGTCCTAAGTAAGTATTGTAAATTGATAAAGAACAACCTGGCTGTTTTGTTTTTATAGGCACAATTATACTAACATGAAATATAAAATTTTTAGATTTTCATTTAAATTTCAATAATTGAAAGTAGTGCCTTGTAGTAGTGCTTTAATCTTTGAGGCATATTTCTGGCACTAACTAAACCTTATTAAGGATTATAAAGCAGTGAGCTAATAAATGCATTTTGGATGAGACAACCAGTAACAGATTGGAATGTTGTATTAGAGAAATTAATATTGTGGCTATTAAGTAGACCCAAAGAACTCTCCTTCCCTTTTTACAAATTGAAAATGATTAAGATGTAGTCATAAGCATTAGACATTTGCAGTACTTGATTAAAACCGAACATTATTTCTTCAAGTTTAGGTCTATAAAATTCCTAACCATTTAGCCTTTTTACTGACCTAAAAGCTTTCATAGATAACATGAAGGGGATACTTAATTTTTATTAAGCTAAAATCAACACAAGATGGTATTTTATTTATTAGATACATTTTATAGTGCATAAATTCAGTGGCATTTATCTTACTCATACTGTGGTGCAAACAAAACTACCTAGTTCCAAAACATTTCATCATCCCAAGAGGAAATCCTCTATTTATTAAGCTGTTATGCTCAATTCCTTTATCTCTAGGTAGACTAAAGCCAGTGTCTGCTATATGGATCTCGGTCTATGAATTTGGCTTCAAAGCAGTATGGCCTTTGGTGTGTGGTATCTCAATTTCCACATTTCAGGGTCATCTATGTAGCATCATATCAGCACTGCATTCCCTTTTATGGCCAATGGTGTTCTGGGATGTGTACATATACAATATATATATAGACATACAGATACACAATGCAGATATACAATACTTCCTCATCTATTTTTCTGCTGAGGAATATTTGAGTGGTTTCAATCTTTTGTCTATAGTGCTTACTGCTGCAATAAAGATTTGTAAATATGTATTTGCTTGAATGCTTGCTTTTAATTATTTTGATTATACACCCATGAATGGAACTTCTCGGTCATATGACAACCTTATGAGGAAAAGCACAGCTATTTTGCATAGATTTACTGTTGTGGAATATTAGTTTAGTACTCATTTGTGCTATGGAATATCTGTTTAATTATGCAAAGATGTGTGGTATTCTTTTAAGTTTCATTTGTTTAACTCTGTAAAGCTGTATTTCTTTGCCTGTTTAAAACACCTGGTTGTTCTAATAAAGAGATAAATGGACAATAGTTAAGCAGTTAGGACTGCCAGGCAGAGAGAATAAATAGGAGAAATCTAGGCTCAAAAGAAGGGGAGCAAGAAAATGAGAAGAGGAGAACACTAGGGGCCAGACACCCAGTCACATAGCTAGCCACGGAGTAAGGAAAGAAATATATATAGAATAAAGAAAGGTAAAAAGCCCAGAGGCAAAATGTAGTAAAAGAGAAATGGGATAATTTAAGTTAGAAAAACTGGCTAGAAACAAGCCAACCTAAAGCTGGACATTCATAAATAAGAATAAGTCTCAGTATATTTATGTGGGAGCTGGGTGGTAGGCCCCTTAAAATAAAAACAAAGACAACTACAATCTACCATTTTATATTCCTAGTCAAATTTGGAAGAATTGTGACTTCTTTGCATTCTCACCAACATATGTTATTTTCCATTCAATCATTTGTTCATTCATTTAATGGTTTCAGTCTTGGTGGTTTTGGTGCCTAGATTTGTGTCTCCTTAAACTAGTAGTGGCGTGCATAAATTTTCCATGTCCTTAACAGAAAGTTGTATATATTCTTTGGAGAAGAAGTATGTATTCAAGATCTTTATGTATTTTACAATTGGGTTATCTTTATGTATTTTGAGCACTGGACACAATGGATGTATGAAAATACTTTCTTTGATGCTTTGGGTGATCTTATTGTTTGGTTTATTTCCTTTCTGCCAATTTTGTCCCTTCCTTCCTTCCTTTTTTCCTTCCTTTCTTTCATTTTTTTGAAGTTTGGCTTTCTACTCTTCATTAAACAGCTCTCGAAAACATCAATTGATTATTTAAGACATTCATTTATTCCTTTAAATGTGTTCACAATTATAAATTATCCTGTGAGCACTGCTTGATCGCATACTATAATTTTTATTATGCCACATCCCATTTTCATTCCCCTCAAAGTATTTTTAATTCTCCCTGTGATTTCTTAATTCATCTATTGGTTCAGGGTGTACTTAATGGTCAAGGTGCAGACAAAAAGAGACTGTGGAATTCTCAGCCCTAAATGAGATACCTATATTGCACCCTCTTCTCCCAAGGGTCAAGGATCACTGAAGAAGAGGGTACAGAAAGATTACAAGAGCCAGTGGTGGTGATTTTACACATCAAAGCATCATTTTTCATACACAACAGGGTCATTGCCCATATGAACACACAGCTCTTGTGGTGGCAAACACAAGACTGCAATATCAAGCCAAAATCCCAGCTTGGAGAGGGGAGTGGGACAAGTCCTTCCTATAGCGGAGGAGATATTGGCAATTGACAGCTTCTGAGAGAGGGAAACAGGATTTTTTGCAGCTAATGTATGTTTTATTTTATTTATTTTTTATTTAAATTAGGAACAAACTTGCTTCAAATGTGTTTATCTACCTGAGGCCCCATAGATTGCCAAGGCCTCCTCACTGACACCTAAATTTAGGGTGTCTAGATAAGTCCCATGTTGGCCTCTCAGCCATCAGTCTGGGGTCTATAAACTCCCCCTTCTTCAGGTCAGCTGTTCCTGTGGGTATCACCAGCCTGGTCTTGACCCCTTTGCTCATTACTCTTCCCTCTCTGCAACTGGTTTCCAGGAGAGCACTTCAGTGTTTAGCTGTGGGTTTCTGCCTCTGCTTCCAATCAGCCACTGGATGAAGGCTCTAGGATGGCATATAAGGTAGTCATCAATCTCATTATTGGAGAAGGGCATTTAAGGTAGACTCTCCACTATTTCTTAGCAGTTTTTTTTCAGGCTTTGGCCCCTGGTAGGTCAAACACTAAATAGTACATGGATAGCACAAATGGACCTGATATTTTTAAAGCATGATAAAGTAGGAGAACACAAAGTTGGGTGGGTAGGGAGGAGGTTTGGATCTGGGAGGAGTTGGGGTGGGAGTGAATACAATTATCAAAATGCAGTATGTGGAATATACTTAATTTCTCCACACTTGTGTATTTGAGCTTTCTTTGTCTTGTTAATTTTTAGTTTTATCTCACTGTACTTAGAGAAAACACTTTGTATGGTTTCAATGTTTTAAAAATATCAACTTCTGTGGTGGCCTAACAGATTGTCTAAACTGGAAAATGTTTAGTATCAAATTTGGAAGGACGTATATTCTGCTGTTTTGGGGTGAATCCTTCATTTACTTTTGATCTTCTGCCTACTTATTCTATTCACTATTGAAAATGTTCAACTGACATCTTTTAAACTACTACTGCAGAACAGAATTTTCCCAGGTTTTGCTTCTATTTTTTCAGATTCATTTTAAAAATAACTTTACCATATTGATGAACTGACCATTTATTTTTTGTGGTGCTGTAGATCAATCCAACAACCTGCTAGTCAAATGCTCTACCACAGACCTATATTTAGCACATTGACCATTTTATCACTATATAGTGTATTTCTTTTTCTCTTATGTTTGACTTAACTCTCCTAAGAATATTTGTGTTGTGATGGACCACAGAACCTCACACATGCATTGTATTGCTGAGCCACAACCCCAGTCCTTTTATCTTCCTTCCTTCCCTATCTTTCTTCCCTATGAAGTCTCATATTTGAAATCAACATGGACACCCTTGCTTTCTTTTGATTTGCTTATATTTTTAATCATTTATTGTCAACCTATGTATGTCGTTGGTACTAATGTTAAATGTATTAAAGACAAATTAAATACATATGTATAATTTTAATCTAGTTTGTTAATATCAGGCTTTTATAATATATTTTCTTGAAATTGTCTCATTATGTAGCTCTAGTCATGGAACTCTCTATGCAGGGCATGCTGGACTCAAGTTCACAGAGATCTACCTACCTTTGCCTTTAGAGTGCTGGTATTAAAGGCATGTGCCACTGCACCTTGTCTCATAATATTTTAAGTGTAATTTATTTTATTATTGCTTGAGATAAAGTCTTACTCTGTAGATCAGGGTGGCCTCAAATTTGTGGCACTCCTCCTGACTCAACCTCTAGAATTATGGGACTACAAGATGAGCAACCATGACCAGGAATTTCAGTCTTTTAAGTGGATAAATTAATGAATCTCTATTTTATGTGTTGAGTAGGAAAGATACTTGCAATTTTTCCCCATTATTTTCTTTCTGTATTACTATCTTTCTTTATGTTTTAAATTTTTTCTTTTATTATTTTGTCCTGGAAGGAGACAATTTAGAATAGTATCTTTCCTATGTTAACAGTTTTAGTAAGATCTCTCCCATTGTTTCTTTCTACTTCCAAATCTAGTTTGTTTTAAAGTTGTTACAGGTAATAAATGTCTGAAATGACCACTTTTCTGACCTCTTTCAAACAGTGCAAGAAACACGTGGATCTGAAAGTACAAAGCTAAAAGGGGTTGAATTAACTGCTTAATTTTTGTTAGAGTTGCCTTCTAGTTTCTTGGTGGGTACTATTTTAAAATAATACAGTTTCATAGAATTGAACTAGATGAGGCCTCAGAACCTAGTGGCTTCTTGTTTTAGTCAGATCTCCACCGCAGATAGTAATCCTAAAGATACCCAATGGAGGTGAATTTACAAACTCCTTTAATAACCAATTCTTCCCTTAATGCCTTTGACTGAATCCCTTTCAATTTATCCTTAGCTGGGCTAGGTGGTTTGCCACTAAAGTCCCACCTACTCAGGAGAGGTGAAGGAGGATCTTTGGAGGTTAGGAGTACAAGGCCAGCTTGGGCAACACAGTGAGACCTTGTTTGAAAAAAAAAGACAAAACAGATTGAGTTTCTTTGGAATGGGAAGGTTATTTCTCCATTTGTTCTCTTCTTGTTTTGTTGGTACCTTTAGATTCTTTTGTTCTTAACATTGTGAAGCAACAAATATTCTTACCTTCTGGTTTGGCTGCTGTGGGAGTGTAAAGATAGACTTCCAGTAGGTCCATGCAAAGAACACAAAAATGGCATGATATAGTGTGAGGTAGATAACTGAAATAAAAAAAATTACATTTTAGTGCATTTTCAGAGTTCAAAAGAACAAAACTAAGCAATAAATGTCTATTTTTTCTCCTATTACTGTATACTCTCTAGGATTCTAGGATTACGATGAAATATTGATGGCTATTCTTTTCCTATGCAGAGACAAGAATATATGCAGAACAGCACATTTTGAACTAGAGGCTTCCTGGAAATTATATCCTTTTAAAGCTGTCATAAGATTCTTTGAGTAAAGAGAGGAACTGCCCTTTATGACAACATATGAAAAGATATTTTAGCCAGTTTTTATTATCTCTGTCACCATGGGTGCTAAAATGTTATGATACAAATTGTACTTTATTAGAGTTTACAACATGCTTTTTCAAAAAAATTAATTATGTGTGTGTCTGTGTATGTGAACGTGCATGATATTGCACACATGTGACATTCAGAGAACAACTTGTAAGAGTCAGTCCTCTCCTTCTGCCATATGGGTTCCAGGGATAGAATGCAGGTCACCAGGATTAGCTGCAAATCCCTTTAGCCACTGAGCCATCTGTCCAGCCCAAAACATATTTTTATGTTATTTTCTCAGTAACTTTGTTGAGAAAGATAATGGAATAGGGCAGGTAATTATCATTAGTAAAGGTCACACACTAGGCAATGTAGTCTGCCATTAAATATAGGACTTCTGACTCTAAGTCCAAGTTCTTTTTGGTAGCTTTATTGCCTACACAGTTCAGAAGCTTAAGCTATACCTTTGAAACAGATGTGCACATGACTCTCCACTGCCTGTCTTCTCATACTTTTGCCTTTTATACAGTTCAGTTTGGTATTTTCCACAAGGCTGGTTACTAGATGGAAAGTCCCTTCAGTGTTTCGTTGTGAGCCCTTGAATGGCATGGTCTTATTTCAATCCAAAAAGACCCCCCAAAAGTGTTGTAATTCAAGACCAAGTTACCAAGGTTAAGTCTCTCATATATCTCCTCTTTCAGTCCCAGACACTTAATACAGAATGTTTTAGGTGTGAGACTATGACATCTCATTTTGAAATTCAAGAGACATGGAGTAACAGACAAAGTGTACGCCACATATCCATCATACTTCTCACCTGTTCATGTCAAGTGCGTGAATCACTCCAGATTTTCTCACGTTTGAATGTGTATATAAAAACATGCACACGATGAACATAACATCTCTACAACATCTAAAAATTCAACTGTCTTTCTTATGAAAAGCTAAATATTCATATGGTTCAAAATTCAAGGTAGAAGAAAGAATATAGTGAAATTTTTGTCTTTTTCAGTTACATTCTATGTAAACAACCAATGTTATAAGCCATGACTTCAGATTTTGCTTTTGAAATAACCCAGTGTATTTTGTCACATGCAGAAAAGTAGTCTGTACACAGAGTTTTGGAACACACTTCTTTATTGCTTACTTTATTTGGAGATTATTTCATTTTCTATAACTTGGAAAGAGTGAACATTCTCATTTCATAAATAAGTCCCAGTGGAGTGTTCAGCCCTAAGTGGAACATCTATATCATATACCTCTTCCTGCCAAGACCAAGGGACTGTCATAGAGGGGGGACACGCAAAAACATTGTAAGAATCAGAGGTTGGGCTTCTGGACATGACAGGGCTGCTGAATATTATAACTCACAGAGGCCGTGACTGCATAAGACATGCACAATATTAAGTCATCCAAAATCTCAGCATGTATTGGGAAGAGGCCCAACAGGCCCCACTCCCTAGATGAGGGGCTACTGGCAGTTGGTGGTTGCTGAGAGAGCAAAAGTCAGTTTTCTTCAGGAATGTGGTCCTTGGTAGACATTTTCATGTTTCAATGGGTGGCCATACACCCATGAGCACACAGGTAATACACAGTATACACAGCTTGTTAAAAAAGAGTACAGAAGGATCACTGCCAAACTCTTTTTACGAGGCTACAAATACCTTAGTACCCAAGCCACACAAAGAAACAACCAAGATAGGGAATTACAGACCAATCTCCCTCATGAACATTGACGCAAAAATACTCAATAAAATACTAGCAAATTGAATCCAAGAACACATCAGAAAAATCATACACCATGATCAAGTAGGCTTCATCCCAGGGATACAGGTATGTTTCAACATACGAAAATCCATCAATGCAATCCACCATATAAACAATCTTAAAAAGAAAAACCACATGATCATCTCACTAGACGCTGAAAAGCCTTTGACAAAATCCAACACCCCTTCATGATAAAGGTCTTGGAGAGATCAGGGATAATAGTAACAGGAATATACCTAAACATAATAAAAGCTATATACAGCAAACCAACAGCCAACATCAAACTAAATGGAGAGAAACTCAAGGCGATTCCTCTAAAATCAGGAACAAGACAAGGATGTCCACTTTCTCCATATCTCTTCAATATTGTACTTGAAGTTCTTGCTAGAGCAATAAGACAACAAAAGGAGATTAAGGGGATACAAATTGGAAAGGAAGAAGTCAAACTTTTACTATTTGCAGATGATATGATAGTCTACGCAAGCGACTCAAAAAATTCTACCAGGGAACTCCTACAGCTGACAAACACCTTCAGTAAAGTTGCAGGATATAAAATTAACTAAAAAAATCAGTAGCCCCACTATATATAGACAATAAAGGGGATGAGAAAGAAATCAGAGAAACATCACCCTTTACAATTGCCACAAACAAAACATAAAATACCTGGGGGGTAATGCTAACCAAACAAGTGAAAGACCTGTATCGAAAGAACTTTGAGTCTTTAAAGAAAGAAACTAAATCAGCCCTCAGAAAATAGAAAGATCTCCTATGCTCTTGAACAGGTAGGATCAACGTAGTCAAAATGGCAATCTTACCAAAAGCAATCTACAGATTCAATGCAATCCCTATCAAAATACCAGCACAATTTTTCACAGACCTCAAAAGGACAATCCTCAACTTTATATGGAAAAAAAAGACCCAGGATAGCCAAATAACCCTGAACAATAAAGGAACTTCAGGAGGCATCACCATCCCTGACTTCAAACTCTATTATAGAGCTATATTCCTGAAAACAGCTTGGTATTGGCACAAAAACAGACAGGTAGACAAATGGAATCTAATCGAAGACCCTGATACCAACCCACACACCTTCAAACACCTGATCTTTGACAAAAAGCTAAAACTATACCCTGGATAAAAGCAAGCATCTTCAACAAATGGTACTGGAGTAACTGGATACTGGCATGTAAAAGACAGCAGATAGATCCATATCTATCACCATGCACAAAACTTAAGTCCAAATGGATCAAAGACTTCAACATCAATCCAGCCACACTGAATCTCTTAGAAGAGAAAGTGGGAAGTACCTTTGAATGAATTGGTACAGGAGACTGCTTCCTGAACATAACCCCAGTAACATAAACACTGAAATCGACAATTAATAAATGGGACCTCCTGAAACTGAGGAGCTTCTGCAGGGCAAAGGACACAGTCAGCAAGACAAAACGACAGCCCACAGAATGGGAAAAGATATTCACAAACCCCACATCTGACAGAGGGCTGATCTCCAAAATTTACAAAGAACTCAAGAAGCAAGTATCCAAAACACCAAAGGATCCAATTAAAAAGTGGGATACAGAACTAAATAGAGAATTTTCAATAGAAGAGTCTAAAATGGCTGAGAGGCACTTGAGAAAGTGCTCAACATCCTTAGGCATCAGGGTTTTGCGAATCAAAACAACTCTGAGATACCATCTCACTCCCATCAGAATGGCTAAAATAAAAAACACGGATGACAGTTTATGCTGGAGAGGATGTGGAGAAAGGGGAACACTCCTCCACTGCTGGTGAGAATGCCAACTTGTGCAGCCACTTTGGAGATCAGTATGGAGATTCCCCAGGAAAATGGAAATCAGTCTACCACAAGATCCAGCAATTCCTCTCTTAGGCATATACCCAAAAGATGTACCCTCCTACAGTAAGGACATTTGCTCAACTATGTTCATAGCAACATTATTTGTAATAACCAGAACCTGGAAAGAACCTAGATGCCCCTCAACTGAAAAGTGGACAGAGAAAATGTGGTACATTTACACAATGGAGTATTACTCAGCAGAAAAAAAATGGAATCTTGAAATTTACAGCCAAATGGATGGCACTAGAAGAAACCATCCTGAGTGAGGTAACCCAGTCACAAAAAGACAAGCATGGTATGTACTCACTCATATATGGATTTTAGACATGGAGCAGGGCATTGCCAGCACACAATTCCACCGCCAGAGAGTCTGGGGTGCAGGGAGGACCCTAATAGAGATATGCATGGTAACCTGGAGAAGGGTTAGGGGATGGTATCTCCTAACTGGATTGGGGTGGGGAGAAGGGGAGGGAAGAAGGAGATGGGAGAAAGAGAGGGAGAAAAGAGGAAGGGAGAGAAGGACATGGGAGAGCAGGAAGGTTGAGCCAGGGTAAGAAGAGAGGAGAAAAGGATGGGAGATACCATAAAAGAGGGAGCCAGTATAAGTTGGAGGAGAGATCTGGCACTAGTGAGGTCTTCACAGATCTACAAGAATGACACCTACTGGCATTAAGGCTACCTTAAATGCCCTCCCATGATAATGAGATTGATGACTACATTATATGCCATCCTAGAACTCTCATCCAGTGGCTGATGGAAGCAGAGGCAGACACCCACAGCTAAAAACCGAATTTAACTCCTGGAACCCAGTTGCAAAGAAGAGTGATAAGCAAAGGAATCAAGATCAGGGTGGTAAAAACCCACAGAGGCAGCTGACCTAAACAAGGGGGAACACATAGACCCCAGATTAATAGCTGAGAGGCCAGCATGGGACTGATCCAGACCCCCCCCCCCGGAACCTGGGTGTTAGAGAAGAAGCCTCGGCAATTGTGGGACCTTGGAGAGTAGAGTAGTATTTATTCCTGGCATACAAATAGACTCTGGGAGCCCATTCCACATGAAGAGATGCTCTCTCAGCCTGGACACATGGGGGGGG